ATGGTGCACCAAAGCCCCTGAAAATCATTTGATTTGCACGAATTTTGGCAAAGCTTATTAAATTAAGTCTAGAATTATGTGTGCGTAGTTTCCTGAAAATCGGTTCAGATTTAGATATAGCTCTCATATATGTAGTTTCACCCGATTTTAGGTAAATGGTGGACCAAAGTCCCTTTATATTTTTCGATTTGCGCGAAATTTGGTATAGCGTGTTGAATTAGGTCTAGAATGATGTGTGCTTAGTTTCATAAAAATCGGTTCAGATTTAGATATAGTTCCCATATATAGTTTCGCCCGATTTTAGGTAAATGGTGCACCAAAGTCCTTGAAAATCATTTGATTTGCACGAATTTTGGCATAGCGTATTGAATTAAGTCTAGAATGACGTGTGCCAAGTTTCGTGAAAATCGGTTCAGATTTAGATATAGCTCCCATATATAGTTTCGCCTGATTTAAAGTAAATTGTGTACCAAAGGCCCTATATATCCTTAGATTTGCACGAAATTTGGTATAGCCTACTAAATTAGGTCTAGAATGATGTGTGCTAAGTTTCGTGAAAATCGGTTCAGATTTAGATATAGTTCCCATGTATAGTTTCGCACGATTTTAGGTAAATGGTGCACCAAAGTCCTTGAAAATCATTTGATTTGCACAAATTTTCGCATAGCGTATTGAATTAAGTCTAGAATGACGTGTGCTAAGTTTCGTGAAAATCGATTCAGATTTAGATATAGCTCCCATATATTTAAGTATAGCTCCCATATATAAATGGTGTACCAAAGTCCCTTTTTATCTTTCGATTTGCACCAAAATTGGTATAGCCTATTGAATTAGGTCTAGAAAGATGTGTGCCAAGTTTCATAAAAATCGATTCAGATTTAGATATAGCTCCCATAAATAGTTTCGTCCGATTTAATGTAAACGGTCCATATATATCTTTCGATTTGCACGAAATTTGGTATAGCCTACTAAATTAGGTCTAGAATGATGTGTGCTGAGTTTCATGAAAATCGGTTCAGATTTAGATATAGCTCCCATATATAGTTTCACCCGATTTTAGGTAAATGGTGTACCAAAGTTCCTTTGTATCTTTCGATTTGCACGAAATTTGGTATAGCGTGTTGAATTAGGTCTAGAATGATGTGTGCTTAGTTTCATAAAAATCGGTTCAGATTTAGATATAGTTCCCATATATAGTTTCGCACGATTTTAGGTAAATGGTGCACCAAAGTCCTTGAAAATCATCTGATTTGCACAAATTTTCGCATAGCGTATTGAATTAAGTCTAGAATGACGTGTGCTAAGTTTCGTGAAAATTGGTTCAGATTTAGATATAGCTCCCATATATAGTTTCGCCCGATTTTAGGTAAATGGTGTACCAACGTCCCTTTTTATCTTTCGATTTGCACCAAAATTGGTATAGCCTATTGAATTAGGTCTAGAAAGATGTGTGCCAAGTTTCATAAAAATCGGTTCAGATTTAGATATAGCTCCCATATATAGTTTCGCCCGATTTTAGGTAAATGGTGCACCAAAGCCCCTGAAAATCATTTGATTTGCACGAATTTTGGCAAAGCTTATTAAATTAAGTCTAGAATTATGTGTGCGTAGTTTCCTGAAAATCGGTTCAGATTTAGATATAGCTCTCATATATGTAGTTTCACCCGATTTTAGGTAAATGGTGGACCAAAGTCCCTTTATATTTTTCGATTTGCGCGAAATTTGGTATAGCGTGTTGAATTAGGTCTAGAATGATGTGTGCTTAGTTTCATAAAAATCGGTTCAGATTTAGATATAGTTCTTATATATAGTTTCGCCCGATTTTAGGTAAATGGTGCACCAAAGTCCTTGAAAATCATTTGATTTGCACGAATTTTGGCATAGCGTATTGAATTAAGTCTAGAATGACGTGTGCCAAGTTTCGTGAAAATCGGTTCAGATTTAGATATAGCTCCCATATATAGTTTCGCCTGATTTAAAGTAAATTGTGTACCAAAGGCCCTATATATCCTTAGATTTGCACGAAATTTGGTATAGCCTACTAAATTAGGTCTAGAATGATGTGTGCTAAGTTTCGTGGAAATCGGTTCAGATTTAGATATAGTTCCGATATATAGTTTCGCACGATTTTAGGTAAATGGTGCACCAAAGTCCTTGAAAATCATCTGATTTGCACAAATTTTCGCATAGCGTATTGAATTAAGTCTAGAATGACGTGTGCTAAGTTTCGTGAAAATCGGTTCAGATTTAGATATAGCTCCCATATATAGTTTCGCCCGATTTTAGGTAAATGGTGTACCAAAGTCCCTGAAAATCATTTGATTTGCACGAATTTTGGCAAAGCTTATTAAATTAAGTCTAGAATTATGTGTGCGTAGTTTCGTGAAAATCGGTTCAGATTTAGATATAGCTCCCATATATAGTTTCGCCCGATTTTAGGTAAATGGTGTACCAAAGTCCCTGAAAATCATTTGATTTGCACGAATTTTGGCAAAGCTTATTAAATTAAGTCTAGAATTATGTGTGCTAAGTTTCGTGAAAATCGATTCAGATTTAGATATAGCCCCCATATATTTAGATATAGCTCCCATATATAAATGGTGTACCAAAGTCCCTTTTTATCTTTCGATTTGCACCAAAATTGGTATAGCCTATTGAATTAGGTCTAGAAAGATGTGTGCCAAATTTCATAAAAATCGGTTCAGATTTAGATATAGCTCCCATATATAGTTTCACCCGATTTTAGGTAAATGGTGTACCAAAGTTCTTTATATTTTTCGATTTGCACGAAATTTGGTATAGCGTGTTGAATTAGGTCTAGAATGATGTGTGCTTAGTTTCATAAAAATCGGTTCAGATTTAGATATAGTTCCCATATATAGTTTCGCCCGATTTTCGGTAAATGGTGCACCAAAGTCCTCGAAAATCATTTGATTTGCACGAATTTTGGCATAGCGTATTGAATTAAGTCTAGAATGACGTGTGCCAAGTTTCGTGAAAATCGGTTCAGATTTAGATATAGCTCCCATATATAGTTTCGCCTGATTTAAGGTAAATTGTGTACCAAAGTCCCTATATATCCTTAGATTTGCACGAAATTTGGTATAGCCTACTAAATTAGGTCTAGAATGATGTGTGCTAAGTTTCGTGAAAATCGGTTCAGATTTAGATATAGTTCCCATATATAGTTTCGCACGATTTTAGGTAAATGGTGCACCAAAGTCCTTGAAAATCATTTGATTTGCACAAATTTTCGCATAGCGTATTGAATTAAGTCTAGAATGACGTGTGCTAAGTTTCGTGAGAATCGATTCAGATTTAGATATAGTTCCCATATATAGTTTCGCCCGATTTTCGGTAAATGGTGCACCAAAGTCCTCGAAAATCATTTGATTTGCACGAATTTTGGCATAGCGTATTGAATTAAGTCTAGAATGACGTGTGCCAAGTTTCGTGAAAATCGGTTCAGATTTAGATATAGCTCCCATATATAGTTTCGCCTGATTTAAGGTAAATTGTGTACCAAAGTCCCTATATATCCTTAGATTTGCACGAAATTTGGTATAGCCTACTACATTAGGTCTAGAATGATGTGTGCTAAGTTTCGTGAAAATCGGTTCAGATTTAGATATAGTTCCCATATATAGTTTCGCACGATTTTAGGTAAATGGTGCACCAAAGTCCTTGAAAATCATTTGATTTGCACAAATTTTCGCATAGCGTATTGAATTAAGTCTAGAATGACGTGTGCTAAGTTTCGTGAAAATCGATTCAGATTTAGATATAGCTCCCATATATTTAGATATAGCTCCCATATATAAATGGTGTACCAAAGTCCCTTTTTATCTTTCGATTTGCACCAAAATTGGTATAGCCTATTGAATTAGGTCTAGAAAGATGTGTGCCAAGTTTCATAAAAATCGGTTCAGATTTAGATATAGCTCCCATATATAGTTTCGAGCGATTTTAGGTAAATGGTGCACCAAAGCCCCTGAAAATCATTTGATTTGCACGAATTTTGGAATAGCGTATTGAATTATGTCTAGAATGACGTGTGCTAAGTTTCGTGAAAATCGGTTTAGATTTAGATATAGCTTCCATATATAGTTTCGCCCGATTTTAGGTAAATGGTGCATTAAACTCCCAGCTAATATTTTGATTGGCATGAATTTTGGTATAGCGTACTAAATTAAATCTAGAATGATGTGTGCTAAGTTTCATAAAAATCGGTTCAGATTTAGATATATCGTAGCCTCCATATATAATTTCGACTTATTTATGTTAATTGTACACCAAATAATCAATAGGTGTCTGATTGAGATAAAATTTTAAAACGTGCCGCATACCGAATAGCGTGTGTCAAGTTTGCTTTAAATCGATTTACTGTGCCACTGTGCGCAAACGACTAAACTTGACCAAATGAAATGAAATTTAGCATAGTTTTCAGAAAGACAAAAAAATCACATATTTAAGTTCGTTCAATTTCATGCCAAAATTCCTTCAAAAAGGCGACGTCTTTTCGAATATACCCAAAGTGGTGAAGGGTATCATATAGTCGGCTCAGTCCGACTTTACTACTTTCCTTACTGGTTTTTTAATGGCAATTTGGGCTTTGGGTAAAATAAACCAAGTATTTATAAAAAAAATCGAAATTCGGCTTTGCGATTTCCTCAAAGATCAAAAGTAAACTTCGCCTTTTTGGCTTTTTAATGACAAAATTCGATTTACTTATCCCTACTCGGAACATGGTCTTCCAAATTGGATGAGTTGTGTACAAGACCGACGCGCCTTGTAATCTTTTTTTAAGTTCGACTTATGGTACAAATGTTTTGTCTAGAGCTAAGTAAGTAAGTACATGTATGGTCTAAGAAACAATTTTGCAGTCTTCTTTATAACATCAAGTTTAAAAAATAAAACGTAAAATCAATAAAATCTTTAAAATTTTATTTTTAAACTTTAAATTTATTTTTTAAATATTTCCAAAAGTTTTTGAAATTTACAATCGAAGATTTTCGAAAATTCTGGGAAATATAATGCCCTATCACTAAACCATTCTTCGTTGAATGAACGACCACAATGTGCGTGCATGGCGTTGACCAAGAACAATTGTTTCTTCGATAACTTCTTGAGATCATCAATAGCTTCGAAATTTTCCAAAGTAACTTCTCTGGAGAAAAACACATCGTAGGAAGTTCGAATGCTACCAGCAAATATAACGGTATTTATTTGATCCTTAGTGAAATCGTTAAAGTGTAGCGTAGAAAATACAGCTGAGGCCAAGGTGGAGCCTAAGAGACTATATTTGAAAATCGGTTCAAATTCCTGCTGATACAATGGCGATCTGAGAAGATATGTGGGCAGCAGAAGTACATTGTGTGCGGGATAATATTTGGGAATGTTAACAGCAACGTTGTTGAAATTTTCAAATGTATCATAAAATTCGTCAGAGACGTAATTATCTTCGGCACGGTTATAGAGAGCCTTGAGCATATTACTGGTTTGCAATTTTTGTATGGCTAAAAAGTTTTTATAAAATTGGGGCTTCACCATAATGGGTGCATAAAATTCTTCCAGAAAATCGGTGGTGTTATGCCTCGGCAAATTGCCGATTATTAATTTCATGCTCTTCAGCTTTTCTAGAGATTCCGCATCAACAACACCATATCGATCCCGATGTAAAGTCTCATAGATTTGTTGTAAAATGGCCGTGAACATAGTTTGGATGTCATTCACTGTCACGGCATCCAAATGATGCATATCTTCATAAATCCAATGCATTGCCAGGGGCATAATACCTCGCACAGCCGCTAGGCAGGAATATTTACGATGTACCCTTACATTGTGATAGAAATGACGAAGAAACCGCATTTCAATGTAAATACGTAAAAACTTTTTATCAGTTTTCATTAGAAGGGCATCTAACGCCTTTAAATAATCCAGGTCAGTTACGACGACTTTCATATGCGGATCCAAGGCGTAGTCTGGAGCCACAATATATTCCAAATATTTCTTCAGCCATTCAATGGGTAAGTCTTTAACTTCCAAGATTTGTCGTGGACTTGCCGGATATTCCTTGTTATTGAGTTCTCTAAGGGCAATTTCAAAATTCCGTATTGCCTCATAATAGTCCATAAGATCTGTCTCCATGTCCATTGTATCGCGCAAACGTCTAACATCGTGTGTGATCATTTCATTAAAACCATAATCGCTGACACCTTTTCTCAGATGTATGGTCATCACATTCGACGGATCATCAGCGCTCTCCAAGGGGGCAATCACCCCTTCCAGTAAAATGTCATTCATGCCATATTTCGTGGCCACAGCAAATATTTCCACCCAATCATCAATACTTTCATTTTTGGCCCACAGCGCCCAATCGATACCCTCCAATCTACGCAGTTGTCGCATATAATATTCGGAAATAAACTCTTCGGAGTTCATGCACGATTTAAAGAGATCCCGGACCTTGTGAGTAAACTTCGGTTTATTCTGCCAGGAATTGGTACTATCCTCGATAAGTCCAATCAATTCCGTGTTGATATCATATTTCAACGTCTCTTCAAAGTTAAATTTGTCGTGATGTCTCCACCAGTTGCCACAAGTGTATTTATAGAAATCGGCACAGGGTTTGATATTCACATCCATATTCTTGGCAATGGTTTTTTGTAGCTCCAAATTTATGGACTCGTGAAGAGGTACATCTGCATCACTCATGCATAATTCTATAGATATGCTCAGAGCAAATATGAAAAATATTTGCGGAAATTTCATATTGATTTTTTCTATTAAATTCTACTCCGATCGGTCGTTTTAGATTCACTCGCCAATAGTCGGCGTTAAAAACTGACTGCCTGCAATGTGTTGGCCTCAAAATTTATAGATATTCTGTTTGTGATAGCATTTACAAATGCATTGATTTAAAGTTCGCGATCTTGACCTCACCGGTATCAGTACACCATAAACATAACAGAATTCTATAGATGACGCCAATAATCTGCAAATATTTGCAATAAGTATACAAATATGTATTCCATTCTAACTAGCACCTATCAATTTTTGTTTACTATGGCAAGGTCCACCAGATGCGTGGATTTTTTAAAGAATATTTTTTCAAGGTCCACCAGAGGCGTGGATTTTTTTAAAGAATATTATTTCAAGGTCAACCAAGGGCGTGGATTTCTTAAAGAATATTGTTTCAAGGTCCACCAGAGGCGTGGATTTTTTAAAGCATATTTTTTCAAGGTCCACCAGAGGAATATTTTTTCAAGGTCCACCAGAAGCGTGGATTTTTTAAAGAATACTTTTTCAAGGTCCA